TGCCAGACCCTGTTGTTAGCACTTTCATTGAAATATAATTTATTATTGACAATCTCCCTAATGTGGTAGATATGATTACTCCATTTTACAGATAAAAGTAAGCCTCTGTGAGGTTGAAGGACTTGCACAAGGTCACAGGATTGCAAGTGGGTGAGCTGCAATTCTCTTTGAAATCTTGAGAACCAGATTCTTAGCCCTTACTTACTGTTATTCCCAAGAATGGAAAAGAACCAAGATTCAGATTAGAATAAGCCATTCATGTTCTCAGGGAGGTCACCACTGAGTCTAGATCCCTGCATCACTCCCTGACTTTACATGCAGTGTGCATCCCATCACCCTGTATACTCTCATAGTTAAGATATGAAAAGCCTTGATCAATGCATGTTAATGAATTCAAGAGCCTCATGGAAATTTCTAAGCTGAAACATTTATTTATAACAACAAAAAAGTCATTATTTGAGTAGCAAGTGCTTTCTCCTGATGCGCATATTTCACACGCTCCCACTTCCTGTGGAAAGGGCCTCATCTCTCAGCTACCAGTTCTTCAATACCGTCTGTACAAACCTTAGATATAATCCTTGAGGTATGTCTGTGTACCTAAAGATGTAGTGAACATTCTCTTTACCTAACGGATTAGTGTTTCACTATATCTTAGAATAATGAACAATATCCTGACATCAAAACCACAACTGGAAAAAGCCAGACATAGAGAAGGAACAATAGAACTTCTTTTACCTTGGTCCCAAATCACATAGATTAAGGGGAAGAAAGCTCAAGGATTGTTAGATATGACATGCTTTTCCTTTTTAGATATATATATTTAGATAATATATATATTTAGATAATATATATATTTTAGGAATTAAGAAACTGAGAGATAGGTTAGGCAAGTTGACTTAGATAAGAGCTTTGTGATTAAACTATGTCTATACCCAGACTCTCAAACTTATTTTTTTCACCTATTTTTTTTCCCTTGCCTTTTTAGGATTAATTTGAAGATCAAATAAAATAGTCAGTGACTGTCTACCTCATATATCAAGCCTAGGAATATAAAAATACAGACATATTGCTCCTGTTCTTGCATATTTAAGTATGAGGGACATTTAAAAAATCCTATAGATGACCAAAAAAAAAAAAAAATCTAGTCTCTTTCATGTTTTTATCCCTTTGGGATTTATGCCCAAGAAGCAGAGAAGTGAAATACAACATTGTGAATTACTCTTCAAAAAAACAAAAGGAAAGGTCAATATCCCCAAAGAAATCTTGATTTTATGAACAGACCCAAATGAGTGTGCAATAATATCATCACTAATTGTTAAGATGATAGAGTATATAGATATTTTTTGAAAGTTGAAACTATTAAATAAATTACAACTTTTGACATAAATAAAATATATATAAAAAAGATATATGAATAATTATAAATGATTCAGAACCATATTATCTCAGAAAGAAGCAAAAAAATAGCTTACATGTGAATTTTTAGAAGATTTGGAGTGCTTGCTGTCTACTTATTATTATAATTGAACTCTTTTCAGGTCACTTGAAGAGTATGTCTAACTTTGGAAAAGTAGGGTGATTAGGAAATCTGGGTCAGATGCAGTAGTAGTGTAGTTGTGAAAGCTATCAGCCTGCCTATCTAAAATTGCTTTTCTGTCTTCTTGAGTTACCTTTCAAAGAATACAAAATGAGAAGGAAAAAAAAAGTACATCATGCTTCTCCTCAAGATAGTTCTTCTAGGAAAATGATTCTACCTCTGGATAATTTTAACTCAGGTGTTTTTCATTCCAAAAGTAATTTAAACCCCACAATATGAGTTTGAAGGTAAAGTTTTCCAATACACAGGCCAGCTTGCTGTTTATAACTGAACGTGCACAGTAGTTTCCACATTATTCTAAAGAAATAGACCAAACATGAACCATGAGAGACGATGGACTCTGAAAAACAAACTGAGGGTTCTAGAGGGGAGGGCGGTGGGAGGATGGGTTAGCCCGGTGGTGGGTATTAAAAAGGGCACGCTCTGCAAGGAGCACTGGGTATTATGCACAAACAATGAATCATGGAACACTACATCAAAAACTAATGATGTAATGTATGGTGGTTAACATAACAATAAAAAATTTAAAAAATAAAAAGCAATAGACCAAACATAGTAGCCAGTTTGTGAGATTAGACTGCAGTACCACATTCTGCTTTACATAACTACATTTGTAAATATTGTTAATAATAGTCTATAATCTGGGACTAGGTTAAAAAAAGTGAATAAAGAATTTTATTCAATTCTCAGCAAATATTTACTGAGTGTCTGCTTTGTGCCAGACACTGATCTTGATGCTTGACTACAGTGAGCAAGAACCCTGTCTTACACACAGCATAGATTCTGGTGGAGACTCTTTTTTTGGGGGGGGCAGGGGGTTGGGTGTGGAGGCAGTGTGTGTGTGTGCATGGCTAACCCTAAGTTATCTGATCAAAGGAATCCCTACTTTTTTTCTCCATCTTGCCCTCCTTTTTTCCAGGGCATCCAACTCACTCATGAGATTATAAATCACTCACTGAAATCCTTACCTAGAATTGCCCTAACCCCACATCCCTCAACTTTTTTGTAGCTGGTATCAGACTCATGAAGCAATATACTCAGCCTTATACCTACTTACTCATGTCAGAAACACCTGACTCTGTTGTGGTGGTTCTATTTCATGGGCAATGTGCTAGCATAGTCAATGTTATCATCTGCATCAACTGGGTCAGAAAATACTACAGTCATTCCTGATCGATATCTTTGTCAAGGGAATCTCCAAATAATAAAATATAAATTGCCAAGAAAAGTGGGAAAAAAAATATAGGCTTGGGTAGCTTGAAAGTCATGGTGAGAGGTTAAAAAACTTGGAAACTCATCCATGGAAACCATTTTCTCCACTTCTAAAGATCCCCAAAGAAAGACAATCCTAAATCAACTTTCCCAAGGCTTAATAGCTCTTTCTCTCTTCAAGAAAGTATACTTAAGAATTAATCTAATTCCCTTTTGTTATTGCTTAAGTTCATTTTCTTTTGTTGTCAGTATTTGCTTATTAAACCATTATACATATTTGCTCAAAGAATAAGGGATATGGCATTCTTTATAATAATCCTCCTTCAAGATAAATGTAAACTGAAACACCAGGACTAGAAGTGGAAAGATGTGACTTCTTTGCTTGGCACAAATCAGGTATAAAATACTAATTATATGTGTGTGCTTAATTTCTAAGCATTTCTTTAAAATGAATTAATTTACATTATTTCTGTGTTTACTAGATGATAATGAAGAGATGGTATTTATTATCATGTAGTTTGATGTAGTTGATATTTATTGAAAATCTCACAATATGCCTGGCATTGGATTGATTGCCTTTATGTAGATTCTCTCACTTACATTCATTTTCTTCTTTAATAATTACAACCATCCTGTAGGGTGTTATCTCCCTAAAAAGGAAAAAAAAAAATAAGGCTTGGAGAGATCATGCAGTTAGGTAATGCTAGCACTGGATTTTGAACTCAAAGAGTCTGATAATCAGAGCCTACACTCTTAATCACTGAAAAATAAAGTATCCATTAAAAAATCATATCAGGGGACGCCTGGGTGGCTCAGATGGTTAAGCGTCTGCCTTCGGCTCAGGTCATGATCCCAGGGTCCTGGGATCAAGTCCCACATCGGGCTCCCCGCTCAGTGGGGAGCCTGCTTCTCCCTCTGCCTCTCTCTCTTTCTCTCTCTCTCTCTCTGTTTCTCATGAATAAATAAATAAAATCTTTAAAAAAAAATAAAAAATCATATCAGGAAATTCATGAGCCACACTAACTCTTGGCTTAGTTAGGTTTTGCCATAGGTTTGGAGGAAATAAACTGCTGTATTGACCAGTTAACTTTATAGCACTAATCAGACACAGGCTGTCTTTTTTTTTCCTATTATATGAATATAAATGAATTTAGAACCTGTCGGTGTTGGCTGCTATGAACTTTTGAATGGCTTCTTAAAATATTTTAGATAGTTCTCTGGACACAGATAGCTAATTTATTCTTAAGTCAATATGACATATGTATTTTGGAAATGTAATTATGCATGGTATGCATTTTATAGAGGCAGGATATGGATCTCTTTTTATCTTTATGTCAGAATGGCTTCAAGTTTATTAAGGTGATGTGATAGCAGATGCACGATATTGGGAGCTCTGCAGGTGGATTTGTCCAATGTGCCATTCAGAGTCCAAAAAGCCATCGGACTATCAACAAGCATTCAGAACCACAAGCCAATTCGGATGAAGTGCCTTGGGAAATGAGACAACAGGACAAATTTCGTTCCTCATTTGTATACTTGAAAGTAAAATGGAACACAAGTAATACAAGTTGAATGAATTTAGAGCCAACAATGTTCCAAAGTTACCCAACATTATTCAAACAGTTGTTAATGTAGGCCAAGGGGGGAAAGAGAGCTTCTGCAATTTTAGTTGTATTTTATGACTTTTCTGAGAAACTTCAGGATGTTTTCTACCTCAACTTGTGATTATCTTACAAAGTTTATACCCATTGTGGCTATATAGACCATAGACGAGATCCTATATTTTAAGGAACTGTTACTCAAAATATCTAATTTCAAATACTTTAGTAGTGGGAAAACTGAAAAACTTTTATATTTAATAAACAAAGTATAATAGCCAACAACAAAAGCAAATATAAGTTTGAGTCTATACACGCTTGAAATAATGAAAACTGTATGCAGATTCACTCAAATTATTTGAGTCATCTACAACCAGTGTGGGTGTGTGTATACACACAGTATTTGAGTGAAATTAGATTGGAATGGTTACTGTTTAATGAGTTGATACTTGAATTTTATTTGGCTGAAAAAGCTATCTTATTTATCAAAATGCACTAAAAATTGTTACATGTGTTGCAAGTTACATGAACTGAAGACAAGTTCTAAATATTAAACTATGGGCCTGGTTTCTCACTCTATCCTCTGCTCACAGGTTGTATATAAAAATAACGATGTAAGGCTGGAATTATCTCGACTTGCCAAGCAAGGAGACCCTAAGATGAAGATCCACGGAGTGGTGGCATTCAAATGTGAGAATGTTGCAACTTTGGACCCCATCACCTTTGAAACCCCAGAGTCTTTCATCTCTTTGCCTAAATGGAATGCAAAGAAAACAGGCTCCATATCATTTGATTTCCGTACAACAGAGCCAAATGGCCTCATTTTATTTAGCCATGGCAAGCCAAGACACCAAAAAGATGCCAAGCACCCTCAGATGATAAAGGTTGACTTCTTTGCTATTGAGATGCTAGATGGCCATCTCTACCTCCTCCTGGACATGGGGTCAGGTACAATAAAAATCAAAGCCCTGCAGAAGAAGGTGAATGATGGAGAATGGTATCATGTGGACTTCCAGAGAGATGGACGGTCAGGTAATTTATCATTTTTTCTATACTCTTTACCTGCTGGAACACTCCTTTCCCCACTCACCAGGGAATTAAAACCAAGACATATTAAAGATTTTCTGCATTTCTGTCTTTAGGGTAAAGGAAATTGTCTGTTATTATTTCTGTTTCACATCATATACAAATCAGAAGGAGCTAACTAATCATTATAGGTGGGCATCAAACCCCAAATGCTGAAATGTCTTCTGGAATCACTTCTTAAATGAAGATTTATTGGATAATCAAGTGCCAAATCTTGCACGAAATTTTATCTTGAATTTGCAAGTGACAAAATTCAGGGTTCTTGTATTCCCAATTATTGCTTATGTTGGAGGTGCCTGGAGTGGCAAATATAAAATATGAAAAAAGAAAATTCAACAATCCACATAGAAAATCCTTAGTTTAATTTTTAATCCTTAGTTTAATTTTTATCCAAGTTGGATCTGTGGTATCATAAACACTTTAATCAACGCAGTAGGATTTCAAGAACACGGGCAAAACTCTGTTGACTTCCAAGTAGCTTCCCTTTCTAATGAAAGACGTTTGGAATTAATTTAATTTCCTCTGGATTCCTTTTGCTATGCTTTTTTCCCTAGAGATGTGTGTGTGTGTGCATGTGTGTGATTGGGGAAAGGTAGGGGCATTGTAGAGAAGGTCTGAAGAAATAATATATTTACTTACTTTGAAATTTGAAATTGGATTAGGGGGCTTAGGGAATTGACTAGCATTAGGTTTGTGGGGACAAGGATCAACCAGACAGAGGGAATAGCATTTGTGGAAACCCAGAAAGTGAGAGAGAGACAGAGAGAAGTAGAGAAAGAGGGGGAGAGAGAGAGAGAGGGAGAGAGAGAAGCAACTTATTTTAGGTGTATTAACTATATATTATGTCTTTTTTACTTTCTTCACCTTGTGCTCCCATGCTCTGATTGTTCCTCTCACTTACAAATCAAATTAGCTTCTTATAATAGAAGACAACTGAATTTAGACCTAACTGCTTTCCTCCCTTCCCTCCGTGCACTCCCTTATTTACTTATATACCATACCATGCACTCTGGATTTTCCACTAAAAAGCAGTGTAAGCTTGCCCAAGGCATTTTTTGTGGGTCTGAATTTCTTTCTTCATGAAACATACTGGGAAGGATCCTGTATTGACTGGCTCCCAGACCTGATGAAGGGGTATCAACAGTGATGGGATCTAGGATTCTATATTTTTGCAAAACTTTCCAGCCAATGGTCAGCACAGACCAGAGAACTCTTAGTGCTTCTTTCAAATCCAGTCATCTGTGATCACCATCCTGTTTTAGGAGGGCCGTGCTGCAGTCCTGGGGTGAGTGCTTCTTCCATAGACCCCCTTGTCACCTGTGTCCTCCCAGGTTCCTTCAACACAACTGTGTCCTATTTCACTCTTAGTCATGCCTTGTTTTCCTGCTCATCAATCAAAAAGATTGTGATTGACATCCTACAAATATTTTTTTTTCTCTCTTTTTGCCCAATAAAATAAAGACGTGGAATGAATGGGAATTGGGAGGGAGCCGGAGGTGAGGGTGGAAAATTGAAGGAAGGTCAGAACCCATTGCTCTGATGCTCAGATATCTCGGAGACGATTTCTGATTCATCCCCCTCCGGAAACTTGGTCTCCCTCTGTTCTTTCGTTTCCCTGAAATCTTCCACAGGGAAGATTAGTTACCACTCTGTGCTATCCATACTTCTTTTATCAGTTCTTTTATCTTAGGTGACTGATGGTAGACAACCATCTGCATTATACTGATTCCATTAGAAATTGGATTCCTCTTTGTTTTTTCTTTCTGATTTAAGCTGAGAAGTGTACATTGAGGGGAATACAGAAATATAGCAAGAGAGTACCTCCCTTTCACTTCCTCCAGCCTGTTTCTATCAGAGTTCGCTGAGTTGATTGGCTACTTAGGAACTTTCAAACAGAAGTCTCAAAAAAGAGCAATGGAGCATGGACTAATCTTGTGCTTTGAAATATTAACTTCTGGATGATACAGTTTAACTTAAAATACACCTAGAATAAAATTTTTAAATTACTCTCAAGTATGTGTATGTACATGTTAGACTTCATCATAATTTATTTGTATTTGTTTATTTATTGAGAGACATAGAGAGTGCAAGCGCAACCCAGGGGAGGGGCAAAGGGAGAAAATCTCAAGCAGATTCCACAATGAACCCAATGTGAGGCTCGATCTCACGACCCTGAGATCATGACCTGAGTCAAATCAAGAGTCAGATGCTTAACTGACTGAGCCACCCAGGCATTCCAGACTTCATAATAATTCAAAACATAACTGATTAGATTAGGTGGACATCTTTTTTTTTTAAAGATTTTTATTTATTTATTTGAGAGAGAGAGAGTGCAGGAGCATGAATGGAGGGAGGAACAGAGGGAGACGGAGAGGGAGAAGCAGACTCCCACTGAGCAGGGAGGCCGATGTGGGGCTTGATCCCGGAAGCCCAGGATCATGACCTGAGCTGAAGGCAGACACCTAACCAACTGAGCCACCCAGCAGCTGCATTAAGTGGAAATCTTTTGGAAGTTCAGAGGGGCAAAAATTACCATACTTCAGATCAGTTGTATTTCATTCACCTCTAACTATATGAAGAAATACATGGTTAATGTCAAAATTTTAATAAATGCAAACAATGTACAAAGGAAAACAAAACCAGCCATTATTCATTTGATAATGGTAATTTATTCTAGTCTTAAGTGTTGATGTGGTCTAATTAGTTTCCCAAGTTCCTTGGATGACCTATGACAATAAGAATTGGATAAATGCCTTAATCCCCAAGCCAAATAAAATCCACTTTTTTTCTCTTTAAATTCTTTAATTCTTCCAAATTGCCAATAGTTTATTAACTGACCTTTTTGTGCCCTCATTGGAAAAAGTTCAAAAGCAGAGAATATCTGTGTTAATTTAGAAAGTTCAGTGCTGGATGGAAAGATGAGAGGGATGCCTTAAGACAGTATAATTTACATTAAGAAAGAAAATAAGACAAGAGATTTTTGTTGGAATCCAAAGGAAAGATTGAGTTAGTATGTTCAGTGATGTGCAGCTAGTAAAGTACTTTTATGTGATTACAATTTCAGATTAGTGAATTGAGACAAACAGTGTAAAAACCAAAGCTCATTCACTACACCAAGTTCTGCCCTTTACTAAATTGAAAGAAAAGAGAGCTCATTTTATGTTGGCCTAGCTCAAGGGAATTTAATGCAATGTTAATAACTGCAGCTGTTAATATTTTATATATAGTATTTTAATTAAGTTCTATATTTGCACACTGCATTGGTTTGGTATAAAGCAGCCTTTTAAAAATTGAATGAATAACTCTACTAGCTTTTATTTTACTTAAAGGATATTTCTGAGCTAGGTTGGTGAAATACTAAGATTTATAGCTCAGTTAAAACTAAGAAACAGAGAATTTCAAGAAATAATTCATTTTATCCATTTTTCACACCAGTTATATTCAGAGACTCTATGAAAATTAGTCTTAATATAACGTGGGAAAATGATACTTCTATGACAAGAGGTCAGTGTGGGCTGCCTTCTGACTCATGGATGATGAAGGTTGCCTGGGATACTCTTCAGCTGAATATTTAAAAATATTTAATGAGCTATTTTCTCTGTTATTAACATAGAGGGAGCTTAGGGCTGAGAATTATTCTTTCTGCTATTGACCATTCTAAAGTTAGTAGGAATAAAGCCATGGCCATTAATTTGATGCCAGTAACTATTTGTTACCTTGGTCAGAGTAGGGTTAAAACCAGATTGGGTGAACACACTGAATTTTTAATATTCCCTCAACAATTTATAAAAGAAACCTATGAATGAAAGGAAATGTCTTATTTATGTTTATACCTACAGGTCCTGGTACTTTCTTGCAAAATAGCAGTTATTTAATAAATATTTGGTACAAGGAAAAATAAAGAATAAAAATATGTGAATGGCTCAGTTCCAACCCACCCCTAATATTCTAAAAATAGTAGTATCATATTTACATTTGAAGAGTAATAGCACTCTTTTTGTTGTAATGCAAGTTTTTAAGGAATTTACCTTACTTCCTGAAAGCAGTTTACACAATGTAAGTTAACAGGTGCCACCCTTTTTTATGAATACAAAGCCATCCTCCAAGCCCAGGTGTCCCCCCCAAAAAAATTGCAATGAGGAAGTTACATAATTGTTAGAGACGGTGATAGGCCTGGTACAAAAATGACCAGCTCTTATGAGAACAGGACTGCTATCTTTGCTTGTTCCTGAGATCACTATATCATTTAGCAAACCTGTAGGTAGAAGGAAAATTAAGGGAAGGTGTTCACGCCTTTCTGAGGACTGGGATATGCAGCCACACAGTAAGCATGCTAATGACAGGGAAGATAGTCACATGCACTGCCCATCTTTCTGGCAATTTGCCCTTCAGTACTTTATTCACTAAAAGGTGGATGTATGAGCCCCTTGTGTGGTGAGAAATATTGCCATCAGATGAATTTCTAGAACTTCATTGTCAGCGCAAGTAATTGTATTGGGTTGTACCTCCCTTCTTCCATTCTGTGACATGGGAAAGAGATATTTTATTTCCACTTTGACTGCTACTGTTGGCCACAGCTGCTGTCTTGGTACAGTGTAGCTTCTTCTATTGCCTGAGTAGTCTGTGACCAGTGACATGGGGCCTGGTAGGCTGAGCTATGAATGGCCTTTTCAGATCCTGGGCTAGACTGGCAAAGGAGGAACCATACAAGGTACAAAGTCAGAGTGTATGATTTGAGTGCTGCACAAAGTGAATATCTTCCATGGATAGCTTAGCTACTTAACAGAACAAAACCTCTAAGTTGCTGAGTTAATAAATATGATTGAAGAGGCTTGTTACTCTGCAAACTTTGCAGGACTTAAGAGCTGAATGCTCCCTTACCAACCCCTCTTCCCTTTCCAGAGTTCCCCTTTCCCTTGCTTTTGCCCCCAAACTTAACACAAAAT